CAGCTACCAGCAGGACCCTTGGGGTCTGCCGAGTAGGGATGTGAAAAGGTTGTGTATGGGGGGTGGGATGGAGAAATAACCAGACCCTTCTCTCCCCTCATTTTACTACTTTCTGCTAGCACCTCCCTTTGGCCAACCCAGAGGACAAGGGCACTCAGTCCTCACAGGGAGAGTGTGGCATACAGAATAGGGCTGGAGACCAAAGAGGGTACAGCTAGAAAAGTCAGCACAGAGGTAAAAGGTCATCACTTCTTTGAATTACCGTGCACATGGTAGATGATCAGAAATGCTGGGTCTCTAAGGATGGCCAGTAGGTTCTGGTTCTGTTGAGCTAAGTGTCTCCCTGAGTGTCTGTTGCAGTGGTTTCTCAACTGCTTTCACAACAATGTCTTGTTGTTTACAGATGGAACAGCAAAGCCCAAGCAAGTTTCCCCAAAGGTCAAATTGAAAATGAAATTGTAGAGGCAATGGCAGGGAGACACACTGATTCGCGAGGGAGACCTGTGAACTAAGAATAAGGCTCATGGAAAGATGCCAGATCTACAGGGTATGGGGATAAGAACAAACATGTTGAAGATTAAATATGAAATGGGTAATTATGTAGTAATGAGATTAAGGACATTACAAAGGACACTGCCATTTAAACCCCACATCTCAACAGAGTAACGAACAGGAAAACCCTCTAGCTTCATAATTTTAATCATAGTTGCCATAACAACTCGGTATCTTTCTCCCAGAGCATCCATCTCAAGACTATATTTTTAGAAATGGCTGTGCCTGAGTATGTATTTTTCTTTATATAGCAGCTAATTTTTCAAATTACTGATCTTTCAAAAAATCCCATTTTCATTCTCTCTCTGAAAGTGTAAAAGTCTCAGGGATAATTATGGAAATGAGCAGGTGTGAAAGTCCGTTATGAAAAATGCTATGAAAGTACTGATGTGTTGACAATATTTGTTTCAACAGTGTTCCCTGGACTTGCATGGTCTCTTACTCCTTGTCAAGCAGTTTAATGTAAATCCTCCATGGAGCTCATAAATATTTGAACAATTATTAGGTGTGTGAGGGTTATTTGACAAGTGCAGATTTATGTTGTATAACAGCGTCCTGAATCTAAAGGACGAACGAACAAACATTGGCTTACCTTGCTTAACAGAAATGCAGTAACAGATTCTCAAGTGAAGCAAACTGAGAAACCAGGAGGGATCTGAGCTGCCATCTTGGTTTCCCTATTTGTCCAGTGGCTGCCCCAGCTGGAGAGTCTGGTCTTAGAGTATGGGTATTATCCAAGAAGATTCTGCACTTTACCAAGCTCCACATACACTCTGGAGAGATGTTCATAATCCTTTGTTACAGGTCCCAGACCAAAGTTAAATAGACTCGTTATTAGGTAAGAACAAAATGATCCCAGAAAGAGGCACTCTTGCCATGAAAGACCTTGGCCAAAGTTAGTCATGCATCAAGGATTTCCTGTCTTTTTTGCACTTTGTTGGTTTCTCTGTAAAATTAGTAGACTAGTTTATAAAGAGCTTATAAATGCTGTCCCAGAGACCATGAAGAGCATTCCTGGCCATGGTCGCCCATTGGTGAGCACAGAGAACTAAGTTTGGTTGAATAGGTGAGCCTGGAATCTTGTGGAGAAATTAGGGGGGTTCCTCACTGGGGGAGCAACATTGTACCAACTGGGAGCTTTGACTGCAGGGTGGACTGCAGGTCAGAGAGCAGGAAGACCTGCTTTGAGCAAGTATTCCAATAACCTGGCTTGTTGATTCACGAGAATGGCAGTGGGGGCAGAGGAGGAAGATGAGAGCTCCTCTAATGATGTTCCATAAGAGGCGCTGGGGCTTTTCTGACATGTCAGTGATCCCAGAAGCTAAAGGAGGGATTGAGAAGGCTTCATCAGGGAACTGAAGAATGCACCAATGCTTCCAGGAAGGTAAGAAGGAATTGGCAAGCAAGAAGAGGTTTGGAGACCAAGAGAATGAGCTCAGTTTTGTCACCCTATCTTCATACACTTTATGAGCTTTGACTGCATGCCACAAATTTCCAGGGGAGCAACCTCCCCAGGAGGGGGGGAGACAAAGGGCCTCCTGCAGCGCTGGAGAATTGGCAGCCTGCAATCCACTCATGTTCTGTTTGTTCTGCTTGCTTTAATTATGTGCCTCTCCAGGGAAAACAAACAAGCAAGCATTAGCAGAGAAAGCAGTGACAAGTCAGACTCCTTTCCTGACTCCAAGGATGTGTTGAGAGTCACATTTGGGTGGGGCAGTCTCTGGATGCTTCCCAGATGCTACAGTGCAGGTGTATGTTCTGTTATTTACTTTGGAGGTGCCAGGAAAGAAGTAAAATGCTTTCAGAACATACAACGGCTGGCCACGGTATAATCCCATCTACAGAAAGGCAAGGTAGGAAAATCACCTCTGAGGCCAGCTCCAGGGAAAAATGTGAGACCCTATCTGAAAAATAACTAAAGCAAAAAGGACTGGAGACATGGCTCAAGTTGTAGAGTGCTTGTCTAGCAAGTGCAAGTTTCTGAGTTCAAATTCCAGTACCCATAGAACTTATGGGTTTGGGCTTTCCAGAATTAATTTTTCTGTAAACTACTAGATGAATCAGGGTTAGTCCTGACCGTCATTAGTTTGCTGTGTGTTGGGGGTAGTGGTGGTGGTGGTTGTGAGTTTGGTCTCAGTGTCTTTTGTAGAATGGGAGGGAAGTGTAGTTCTTAATTTAGTTTTTATTAGAATTATTTGAAGAGCTTCCTAGACAGGTTGGTGCTGGAGCCCATCTCTTAGGTGGCTCTGCAGGTCTGGGTGGGCCTGATGTCTGTCTGCACAGTTAGCAAGATCATGGGGCTCTGAGGAGGTGGTGCAAGGCCCACACTTGGCCTAGGCAGTCTCTGCAGCCCCATCTGGCCAGGATGCCAGGCAAGCCTTTGCTAAGCTTCCTCCAGCTAGCTAGGCCCTCAGGGAGGGTGGCTCACTGCTGGAGCTTCTTTCTGCTGTGCCATAGAAGTCCCTGCACAGCCCATCTTGTCTGGAATGGCTGGCTTCAGATAAAACAGCACCTGGAGTAAGCTCTGGGGACACATCACAGAGGTGGGTGGATGGGATCCAGCCCAACCTAGGTCTGCTTGTGCCTGGGAAGGGGAAGATGCTCTCCTCTGTCTCTGGAGGCCTGTGCTGGATCTGGGTTGTGGAATGTCTTGAGAGTTTGATAGCCAGGTCCTCCCACACCCAGCCCTGTCTCAGCCTGCAGCCTCCTTTGACACTGTGGACATTCTGCTTTGATTTGAGAGCCCTCAAATCAAAGACTGTAATCCAAAGGATGGCCTGGCTTGGGACAGTGAGGGAAATTGAAGTGGCAATTGGGGGAGACCAAGGCAGAGAATGGCAGCTGTCCTGGACCAAGCCTGGACACTCTGGGGGCTCAGAAGTGTGATTCCTCCACTCTCAGGCAAACGGAGAGGCCTTTCTCTCATGCCCCATGATCCCAGTGGCATCCTGGGATCACATCTCAGGCTCACAGGGACAGACCCACCCAAGGTTTGAGGGTCCATTGCCCTTGTGATAGGTATCATGGTCCCCAAAGACACCTGTATTGGAACTCTTAGAACCTGTGAACAAGCTCCAAGGCAAAGTGGACAGTGCTGATTGATTATGATTATCACCTCTGGAGAGGAGATGGTCATAGATTAGCTGAGTGGCCCCTCTGATCATATGAGCCCTTAAAAGTGGAGAACTTTCTCCATCTAGAAGGAGGGAAGATGTGGCAGAAAGGGAAGCTTTGAAGCTGTGGTGTGGGCTTGATGTGCCAGTACTGGCTTTACTACACAGGGTCATATTCAAGGAGAGAGCCAAGCCCCCAGGAGCCATGGAAAGCAGGAAAGGGGAGGCAGTAGCGAGCAGCAGCAAAGTCTGGCCTCAGGTGACAGCCCCTAAGCAAACAGGATGGTGGTCTGGTCCTGAGTGGGTGTGGAAGCAGATTCTCCTCCAGAGAGCTCCCTGAGTAGCGTCCCCCTCCAACCAACCCTCAACACCTTGACTACAGCCTGAGTCAGATCTGCAGTTATGAGGTAAGACGCCAGTGGTGCTTTAAGCCACTAAGTTTGCCATAATTTGTCACTAGAGCAGTAGAATCTCAGACAGCCCGTGGTTCTCCAACATCTCAGCCTGGAAAGTAGAAGCCATGGGCTCCTGGCTTCTTCTCCACATCAGAAAAAAACCAACACAAAGTTGTCCAAGGTGGAGGCACTTGCTCAAAGGGAAGGGACTCACATGTCCCTTGGGGCAAGCCTGACCTCTGCCAGAGCCAAATGACTGGCAGGATGGTGGCCCTTCAGTGATTTTCAGTAATTCTGAGAATCACTGTCTCAGAGAGAAGGGAACAGGGTCATTCAGGCCACTAGACCTTTCCCCAGGAGACCCTGGGACATCAGGGATCCCTCATTCACAGTAGGTGAACCAAGATCCTGGCCAAGAAATGCCTCTATCTGGTTTGGGGCGGGAGATCAGTGTTCTGACTCTATTTGCCTTACCATCTTGGGTCAGTCTTTTCTCCTCGCGGGTCCAAGTTTGTCCACCTGCAAAAGGAAGCAGTGGAAAAGACGGCCTCAAAGTTTCCTTCTAAGGCCGGAACTTCCTATGTGTCTGGGGACAGGGGCGCTCTGCAGAGTAGCGCACTGGCCAACTCTAGGCAAGGGGAGGAGAGGGACAGTCCCAGGGTGAAGGGCTCCAACACCTGCCTGGAGGAGGGCCTCGGGTCTGCAGGCCCGGAGGGAAGGAGGAAGGGGAGGGAGGGGAGGGAGGGGAAGGAGGGCGGGGCCGGCCCCTGCCTCTGCGCCCCCACCGCCCCGCGCCCGCCCAGCCCAGCCCAGCCCCGCCCCGCCCGGCCGCGGGTCACACACGCCGCGGTCGCCGCCTCCGCGCCCCGTGCCCAGCTGCAGTGTCCGCGCCCCTGCCCGGTGCCGCGGTCGGCGTCCGCAGCCCGCCCGGCGCTCGCGGTGACTGTGACCGTGACCCTGCCCAGGGCGCGGGGAGGAGCAGGCATGGCCCGCCAGGGGGCCGCCTGGCCGGCGCTGGCCCTGGCACTCCTAGCTGTGGCCTTGGCTGGGGTCGCCGCCCAGGGGACAGCCCTCGAAGACCCCAACTTTTATGTGCAGGAGCTGTGGAGCCGAGAGCCCAACCATGAGCGTCGAGAGCCAGAGCCCGTGCCCTTCTCGCCATCGCTGCCCGAGGGGCTCCGGGAGGAGAGGGAACCAAGCCCACCAGAGCCCAGGCCACCCAAGAAAACCAAGCCCAAGAAAGCTCCCAAGAGGGAGAAGTTGGCTACGGAGACGCCTCCACCAGGTAACTTTCTGCGCTGGGCGGCCCGAGGGGGCGCCCGTGATCACGCGTCTCCAGGGGACAGCTGGCTTCGTGGTCTGTCTCGGTGATGAGCGCATCCTGCCAACTTCCCGCTCTGCGCGCACTTCCCAACAGACCTGCCCTCCCTGGAACCTAGCTGCAATCCCCCATTCCTGCTCTGTCCCTTCAGGTAGAGGCCAGGAGTGAGTGTAGGAAGCTGCCTGGGGAGTTGGTCCCCTCCTGCTTCACACTTGGCATTCCCTGGGCGAAGGACCTTCAGAGGCAGCTTTCTTGAGTGTGAATTTCCTATTTGGCAGGTGGCCTTCTGGGAACAGTCTTTACCCAGCCAGTGTCACCTCTCAGCTCTCTGGACCCACTATCAGTGGGTCCCTTGAATCCTCTTTATGCACAGGATGGTACAGCCTGAGCTGGAGACTTGGTGCCTTAGGAGCACAAGGGTGTTTGCTGTAGCCGTGATTCTGCCTCCTTGGAGAGGGTAGGCTGCAGGAGACCTGGAAAGTTCTGTGGTGGCTCGCATCCTGGGGTGCTCCATTTTCCTACCCATTCTTCACAGCCTTCTCAAGTCCATCCTCAGTTTCTGCCAGCCCTGCCTTGGGGAAATGACTTCCACTTGATTTATCACACACCTTGTGAAGTGGGACTTTTTCTTAATTGTTCCAAATGGTCTTTGCTCAATCGCAGGGGCTGCTGTCCTAGTGTTTCAACAAAGGGAAGTGAGAAGATCATGGCCAAAGTCACTGGCCTTGCAGTGTGCTTCCCTGAGAGGAGCCATGTGCCAGGTCGTAGAGCTCTGGGCTCAGAAATGGTCTTGGTTTGGCTAAACCGCTCCTGAAAATCAGCAGTGAGGGTGGCAGGGGAGTGGTGGAGTTTGCCCTGCTGTGTTTCACAGGCAGCGTTTCTGTGAGTTGTGTGATCCTCAACAGCACCATCCAGACTTCTTGGTATTTCTCAGGGAGTTATGGGAATTAGAAGAGCCACAGTGCTTTGATCACAGGGATAGGAATGGAGACAGTTGCACGTGTAGAATGTTCACTGTGATCCTAGTATTAGTCTTGTGCACACCTGTCTCATATAGTTCTTTCTGTGGCTGTGAAGGTGGGGACCTTGTTTTTTAACTGATGAGAAAGTAACTTGCTCCATGTCACTTGCTGACTTGGGACATTTGGAAGCCCTTCTTGTGTGCTTGTTAACTCAAGGCCTCTTTGCTTTGGTAGTTTGAATGAAATCCATATGCATTTAAAAAAAATTTGCTATGAGTTCAGTGCAGTAGGATGGTGGTGGGGAAACACATGCTGGGTTCTGGTAGTCCCTGGGGGGGTAGTGACAGGGGAGCAGTAGAAGAAGCCACAGGTTGCTTACCAGCAAGGTCTAGGACTCGCCACTTTTGGGACTCCTGCCTCCACTTTCTGAGCCTCAGTTTCTTCACCTGAAGATAGGAAAAGCAGCATCTGCCACTGCACTGTGTCCACTTCTGCAAATGCCTTTCAACAGCAGCTTCCAGTTTGCCCCAAACTTTCTGCTGTGCTCTGTGGAGCCTTTCATTTGCTCCGTAGATGGTTCCTGAGAACCTGCCCAGCACAGGTGCTGGGGGAGGCCCTAAGACAGGGAGCACAGTGTAGCCTGGCCTCTGCCCTCATGGACCTCACAGAAGTTGGGGGACTTTGAGAGCATAATCACAGGTGCTGAGGGTTTCACAGAAGTGCGGTGTGTCAAGGACAGTACTTCCCAGGAGAGGAGATGCTTGAGGCCTGACTAGTGAGCACCTTTATCATTTGGGGACTGTCACTGGTGACCAGACATCATTCCCAGACATCTATTCTTTCCTAATAGACAACAGTTTGGAAAGACACAGTCCGTCCTGGCTAATGTATCTGTGGACTCAGAAGTTACAGTTGGGGAGGTGGCTGTCCCTCGTCTGTTGAATATCATCACCTCGCCAACTTTGGAATGGGGTCGCTGAAGAAGTAGTCAGGATACAGCAATGATTCGTAAGGAAAAGGTCATTTGCTTTTGGAAAGCCGTCTTGCAGCCAGAGATTTGTGGTAGGGCAGGAGGCTGTTTATTCTTGCTGAGTAGTCAGCCTCTGCCCCTGCAGGAAGTGAGCTTCTGGCACCCACCTGGATCCCATCCCCAAGAGGAAAACATCCTGACTGGCTCAGAGGCCTGCTGGGGAGCTGCTTCGAAGCTTGCTGTATTTTAGCCTTCTTTTTAATGAGTTATGTGTGGCTTTTTAGTTTCCCCAAGTAGGATAAGCCAAGTGTGTCATTTATCTCATACCTTTAACTAATGCTTGGGGTGTGTATGTGTGTGTGTGTATGTTTGGTCAGTAGAACATTCCACCCTGGACCACAAGTAGTGGGGGAGACTGGTTTAAGAATGACTTTGGTGAGAGGAGTCGGTGGTTTTGGAGAACTAAATTGCACTAGGAGAAAATGAATACTTCCCACTTCAAGTGGGATGTAATAGAAGCATTCATCTCTATGGTGGGCTGTTTTGTCAGCAGCTTGACATTTTATCTTAGGAAGGTACTGTCAGAGGAAGGAGCACAGGGCTCAAGCCTGGGGAGTTAAATGGAAACTTCTGGAATTTTCTTTACTGGGTGGATATTGTATGCCAGGTACCCAGCCCTGGCTTGGCATAGAGGGATGAGACTAAGAGGGGAAAAAGAGTGTAACAGCACATACAGCTGAAGTAAACACCTGACACGCACCTCGTCTTTTCAGACGATGAGGCATTTTCCAGGTAGCCCTTGGCAGCACAACTGTTGGACTCAATGGAAGATGAGCTGGACAGTTGTGTGCAGTGGGCTGTAGGAGGGAGTTTGCCTGGATCCTGATAGGTTGGAGCAAGGAGTTTGAAGCCAAGGTCATTGGGGGTTTGGTCTTGGTGTGGGGTTTTGGCTTTGATCCTTGGTCACTATGGAAATAACCCCATAGATGTCATATGCTGACATCCCTGGAGGTGGCTCAGAGAACTGAATCCCAATTGAGAGTACAGGGTGAGCTTGCCGAATCTGAAAATCCAAAACCTGAAAGCTTTGAGCATCAGACACTACCAGTGGGAATTTCCTCATGTTTCAAGTATAAAATTATACATGTGGAAAGTTATTAAAAAATATTCTGTAAAATTATTTTCAGGCTATATGTAGAAGGTATATGTGAAACATAAATTAATTGCATATTTAGATTTGAATCCCATCCCTAAGGTACCTCATGAATAAGCAAATATTCCAAAAATTGAAAACCTTCAAAATCTGGAACACTTCTGGTCCCAAGCATTTTGAATAAGGGATACTCCACCTATACTGCAATATACTGAATGGAATGGAGTCTATAAAACCATTACTTAAGTTTTTAGTTTAGAATAATTAGTAAATTGAATGGTAAATTGCAAAAATAGTATGGTGAGTTCTCATGTACACCTCCCTGCCAAACTTCCTCTGAGGATAAATCTTAGATAACTGTAGTGCAGGGTTTCTCAGGTTTCTTAGCATCTTGGACCAATTGTGGGTGTGTATGGAGGGGCTGGTGGTCCGTGTGTTGTAGAATGTTGAGTAGCATCCCTGGCCTTGAACCGCTGGATGCCAGTGACATCTTCCCCTGAGTTGTCACAACCAGAAACATGTCTTCAAACCAGGAAATTGACAGTTGTAAGTACTACTAACTAGATTTCAGTGTTATTCACATTTCACTAGTTTTTCCATGCCCTGTGTGTGTGTGTGTGTGCCCATCGGATATGGAACTGTGGGATCTGAAGTTCCAGGGACTTTGGTGTAAGGAGTTTTGAAGGCCCCCTTGTGAAGATAAAGTCATCCCAGAATTTTAGACCTTGAAGAGCCTAATTGGTCACTGAGTGCAAATTCCTGTCCACAGCAAGATTCTGAAGCTGGCTGCCCAGCCTCTGCTACACCCTTGGACAGATGGGCTCTGCCCACCTCGAGGGAGGGACAGTGCTGATTGCTAAAATGTTTTTCCTCAAGCAGACTTGACAACCTGCTTCTAATTCTATTTATCCAGCTGTTTCTAGTTGAATTCCACAGTTTCCAGATCTCTGCAGCTGGAATCGTTTGGGGTTCTGGGAGTGAGTCTCAGGTCCCCAGTTTTCATTATGAGGAAAGCGGTCCCATGGGGGTCCTGTTAGTAGATTTGGGAAGAGCTTACTTTGCATGACACCTCCAAATTTGCAACTTTGGGTTGTGGCCATACTCTTTTTAGAGAATAAAATGGATCAGGGTGGTAAATCATACTTACATAATTCATCTACACTTCCCCTCCCACTTGGCAGCAAGAAACAAACAAAATAATAAACAAGGCTCTGAAAAAGTGATGCGAAGACTTTTTTCCTCCTCTCTCCATTGCTCCTGGGCTTAGAAGCTGGTTCAGATAGGAAGCTTTTCATTTGGGTTCCTGCTTGTTTCTTTGTAGGCAGTTTTCTTTAAGCTCTGGCGAGAACACACCAGTGTTGGAATATGCAAACCCTCCACATGAAGACCACAGTCCTGAGTTTGTGGACTTTGCAGAGTGGGCAGTAAGCCAAATTTGTTTGTATGTCTGTGCCCAGAATTGTCCTGTTTGCATTTTGTGCTGTGTTGTGCCCCAGACATGGAGAGGGATAATCAAAGTTGAATTTGAGCATATCTGGCTGTAAACAAAGCCCTTTCTGTGCAACTGCAGCCAGCTGGTGGAAAGGACTTCCCTTTTACACTTAGCTTCATCTCTTTCTGGGTGCCGTGCAGTTTGGCCTTTGGATGAAAATGTCTTCTCTTGGGCAAAGCTGGAGTGTGAGGATTAGGAGAATGTGTTTGCAAATATTTCAATATGTATTTTAAAAACCTAACATCATGCTAGTAGCACACCTCAATAAAGAATAAAGCTTAGCAAAAGATTACATGCTTGCTTAAGAGTTAAATCCGAGTGTGTCCTCCAGGTCAATTCCCCACAAGGCGCCAAGGGAAAGGATGCATTATAAAAACGCATCAGCTT